TATATGCTGCCTACGAGAAACTTACATGACCTATAAAGACACATAAAGATCTAAAGTGAAGGGATGGAAGCATATATCTCACACAAACAGAAACCAAAAGCAAGTGGCAGTAACCATGCTTAGAAAAAACAGACTTCAAGTCAAAAGTTGAAAAAAGAGACAAAGAAGGACATTATATAATAATAAAGGAATCCATTCAGCAAGAAAATGTAACAATTATAAATATACCTGTGCCCAAAATGGAGCACCAAGATATATAAAGCAACTATTATTAGATCTAAACAGAGAGATAGACCCCAATATAATAACAGTTGAGGACTTCAACACCCCATTATCTCCCTAGAACAAATCATCTAGAAAGAAAAATCAACAAAGGAACACCAGATTTAAACTGCACCACAGACTAAGTGGCCCTCACAGGCATTTACAGAACATTTCACTGAATAGATGCACAGCTGCAGAATACACACCGTTTTCATTAGTACATGGAATATTTTCCATGACTGACCATATGTTAAGACACAGAACAAGTCTCAAAAAAAATTTTTGATCAAAATTATATCAAGTATCTTATCTGACCACAATGGAATTATACTAGAAATCAAAACAAGAGACAAATTTAAAACTATACAAATAAAGGAAAGTTAAACAATATGCTCCTAAATGATCAATGGGTGAAGAAATTTAAAATAAAAACAAAATATTCCTTGTAACAAATGAAAATAGAAACACAGCATACCAAAACCTGTGGGACACAGCAAAAGCAGTAGTAAGAGGCAAGTTTATAGCAATAAATGTCTACATCAAACAACCAAAACAATTTCAAATAAACAACTTAACAATGCATCTCAAATAACTAGAAAGGCAAAAACAAACCAAACCAAAAAATTAGTAGCAGGAAAGAAATAATAAAGATCAGAGCAGAAATAAAAGACATGGAGACCAAAATAAATATACAAAAGAGTAACAAAACAAACAGTTGGTTTTTTGAATAGATAAAAATCAGCAAACCATTAGCTAGACTAATGGTCTATAGCATTCTACCATTACTCAAAGTAACCTACAGATTCAAAAAAAGAGAGATAGAGGACCCAAACAAATAAAATCAGAAATGAAAAAGCAGACATCACATCAAATACCACAGAAATGGAAAGGATAATTACAGACCACTCTGAATAACCATATGCCAATAAATTTGAAAACCTAGTGGAAATAAATTCCTGAACACATATAACCTACCAAAATTGAACCAAAAAGAAACAGAAAACCTGAGCAGACCAACAACAAGTAACAAGATTAAATCAGTAACAAAAAGTCTACTGAAAAAGAAAAGTTCAGGACTGGATGACTTCAACACTGAATTCTACTGAACCTTTAAAGAAGAATGAATACCAATTTTTCTGAAATTATTCCACAAAATTAAAGCAGAAAAATTTAATTATTCCAAAACCAGACACGCACATGACAAAAATTGAAAACTACAAGGCAAAATCCCTGATGAACACAGATGCAAAAATCCTCAACAAAATATTAGCAAATCAAATCCAATAGCCCTTCAAAAAGATAATACACCATGACCAAGTAGGATTTAGCCCAGGAATGCAAGGATTGTTCAACATACGCAAATCAATAAGGATGAAACATCACATCAGCAAAATGAAGGATAAAAACCATATGATCATCATAATGATACAGAAAAACTATTTAATAAAATTCAGCATGCCTTCATGATTAAAACCCTCAAAAAATTAGGTAGAGGAAAAGCACCTCAATACAATAAAGTCCACATATGACAATGCCACAGCTAACATCATACTGTATGGGGAAAAGTTGGAAGCATTTCCTCTAAGAACTGGAACAAGGCAAGAATGCCCACTTTTACCACTGCTGTTCGACATAATACCAGAAGTCCTATCCAGAGCAATCAAGCAAAAGAAATAAATAAAAGGCATACAAGTTGGAAAAGAGGAAGTCAAATTATCCCTGTTTGCTGATCATGTGGTCTTACACTGAGAAAAACCCGAAGACTCCATTTAAAAAACTCCTAGATTTGATGAATGAATTTAGTAAGGTTGCAGGATACAAAATCAACTTACGAAAATCCCGTGGCATTTCTATACACAAGTAACAATTTAGCTGAGAAAAAAAAAAAAAAAAAAAAAAGGCAATCCCATTTACAATAGCTACAAGAAAAATAAAATATGTAAAAATAAATTTAACCAAGCAGGTAAAAGACCTGTGCAAGAAAAACTACAAAACACTGATGAAAGAAATTAAAAGGGATACAAAAAAATGGGAAAACATCCCATTCTCCTGCATCAGAAGAATTAAAATTGTTACAGTGACCATACTACTCAAAGCAATCTACAGATGTGAAGCAATCCTTATCAAAATGCCAATGACATTCTTCACAGAAATAGAAAAGAAAGTCTTAAAATTGGTATGGAACCACAAAAGACCCCAAATAGCCAAAGCAATCCTGAGAAAAAATAACAAAGCTGAAGGTATGTATCATACTACTAGACTTCAAATAAAGTACAAAGTTGTAGTCATCAAAACAGCCTGGTACTAGCAACAAAAACAGACACACAGATCAATGGAACAGCATAGAGAATCCAGAAATCAATCCATATATACAACCAATTGATTTTTGGCAAAAGTGTCAAGAACATATACTGCAGGAAGGACACTCTCTTCAATGAATGGTGCTGGGAAAACTGGATATCCATATGCAGAAGAATGAAACTAGACCCCTCAGCTCTCACTCTATACAAAAAATCCACTCAAAATGGATCAAAGACCTAAATGTCAGACTTGAAAAACTATCAAATACTAGAAGAAAACATTGGGAAAACACTTCAGGACCTTGGTCTTGAAAAAGATTTTATGAATAAGACCTCAGAGGTATAGGCAACAAAAACAAAAATAAACAAATGGAATCATATTAAACTAAAAAGCTTGTGCACAGCAAAGGAAACAATCAACAGAGTAAAAAGGTAACCTGCAGAATGAAAGAAAATATTTGCAAACTATTTATCTGACATGGGATCAATATCTAGAATACAGAAGAAACTCAAATATCTCCACAGCAAAATAATAGTCCAATTTAAAAATGTGCAAGTGATCCGAATCGACATTTCTCAAAAGAAAACATAGAAATGGCCAAAAAATATATTTTAAAATGCTCAACATGTTCATCAACAGGGATATGCAAATCAAAACCAAAATGAAGTATCATCTAATGCCAGTTAGGATACCTATTATCAAAAAGACAAAAAATAGCAAATGCTAGTGAGGATCCAGAGAAAGGGGATTCTTACATACTTCTGGCGGGAAGGTAAACTTGTATAGCCACGGTAGAAAACAATATAGAAGTTCCTCAAAAAACTACAAATGGAACTACCATATGATCCAGCAATCCCACTACTGGGCATTTATTCAAAACGAAGGAAATTAGTGTATCAAAGAGATATCCACACACCCATGTTTATTTATTTCAGCACTACTCACAACAGCCAAGATACGGGGTCAACCTGGCTGTCCAACAACAGATGAATGAATTAAGAAAATGTGGTATACATAAGCAACCAAGTAGTTTAGCTTCCAAACTCTTTTTTTTTTTTTTTTTTTTTTTTGAGACGAGTCTTGCAGTGCCGCCCAGGCTGGAGTGCCGTGGCGCGATCTCGGCTCACTGCAAGCTCCGCCTCCTGGGTTCACGCCATTCTCCTGCCTCAGCCTCCGGAGCCAGGGGGACCACAGGCGCCCACCACCGCTCCCGGCTAATTTTTTGCATTTTTTTTTAGTAGAGATGGGGTTTCACCGTGTTAGCCACATTACCGGTGTGAGCCACCCTGCCGGGCCCCAAATGCATTTTAAAACATTTTTTCTCTTCTCCTTTCTTCCCAGTCTCAAGTTGTAACCTTGAAAAAAACTGTAGGAGCCTTTTCCCCCTTAGTTTTAAAATACAGCCCTGAAACATACTCTGAAACTTCACTCCCTCCTACCATCTCCCACCATGTACTCCCTTACCCCATGCACGTTTATTTAACTGCATGCTTATATCTAATTACATGCTTACTTAGAAGTTCCAGGGGCTAATCTTGAGACAGACCAAGCATGGAGACGCAGCTGCAAAATTCCAGAGATTATCTCAAGACAGTCAACAACCCAGCCATTGTTGAGATGACGCCAGCTGCGCTCCTGGTGGACCATGGCTCGAGATAGCCACTGGAACAAGACATGCAGACCTTGTACCCAGCACCCCTCCTGCATGCCTCCCATTGCCAATTTCCTTTTTCAATCCCCTCTTCCCAGCCTGAAGTTTGAATCATTTCTGGAGGTTAAGCTGGCCGCTTCCCCCACTGCTAGCTTTGGAAATAAAGTCACTTTCCTTTCACTGCACATCGTCCTTGTTACCGACTTTGCAAGCAGTGAGCAGCCAAGCCTCCCCTCAGTTACACATACACAATGGAATACTATTTAGCCATGAAAAGGAGGAAATCCTGTGATTCACAGCAACACGGATGGACTGGAGGACGTTATGTTAAGTGAAATAAGCCAGGAACATAAAGTTAAACAGCCTGTGAGCTAAATCCAGCCTACTACCCATGAGTTAATGAATTTTACATTTTTTAATCGTTGAAAAAACCAAAAAAAGAGCAATATTTTGTGACATGTGAAAATTATATAAAATTCAGTGTCCATAAATAAAGTGAAACACAGCAAACCTCATTAATTTACAACATATTGTCCATGTCTACTTTTACCTGATAGTGGCAGAATTGAGTAGTTGCAACAGAGACTTTATAGCCTGCAAAGTTTAAATTATTTGCTACCTGACTCTTAATAGAAAAGTTTGACAAACCCTGATCTGAAAAAGTCAGACAGTGATATTAGAAGTGATGCAAGATTTGAGTTATGCTCCCCTGGACCTACGGCCTGCCATATTTACTAACCTATCTCCCAATTCAATGGACATTAGAGAAAGTGCCAAAAAGTACCTGTCATTTTCCTTGGGGGACCTGAAAATAAAAATTGAAAATATTAAACAGAGTTTGAGACAGGTATTATTGTCACATCATTCATCAAAGTACAAGTTCTTTGTGTATTTCCTCTGAATTTCTTTGAAATACCACCTTAAATAAAAATGCTTGCATAGTATCAGATACTGACAAATTCCTATAGATTGAAGAAAGTGAGCAAAGGTGAAAAAAGCATTCTATTTTAAAGACATGGTCTTTACTTTCTTCTAAATTTTAAAAATACTTTAAAACAATTCACATATGGTTATTTCTTCATCAAGAAACTTTTTTCAGTAAATCAGCAGAGAACTCCAGTTGTTGGCTTTAACAAAATTGGGAACCTTCTTTTTTGGGATACAACATGTTATGTAGTATTAAAATCAGATGGTATACTGTAAAGTAGTAAGGGTTTAGGTAAAGTCAGGACCGACTAATCCACAGGATACTGCACAAACTTTAATATTTATTATTTTATGTAGCAGATGCTTAAATAGAACTTTCCATGTGCCAGGAACTGTGCTAAGCATTATACAAAACTTAGTTGATTTAATCTTCATTAAGATTTATTAGTATCCTCATAATATAGGTGTAGAACCATGGAACAAAGACGCTAAATAATTTGCTGATGGTATTTCAAAAGTATTTTTTTAATAAAGCAGGATTAAGGTAAACTGTCTTTTTTATACAAATGAGAAGTTAAATCCTGGAAATACACCCAAAAGCATCCAGCCAGAAGTGCAAAGGCAGGATTTGAAGCCAGGCAAGTTGGCTCCAACGACTGTGTTGCCCTTCATGTGCTGCCAAATAAGGGAGGCCTTCAAAGGCCTCACATTCTCAGGTTCTCATCTGAGCTTACAACTGGAGGCAGCATCCTGTTTGAAAACTGCTAAAGTTGAACGGGGGCTACTGGTCATGATATGAGACTAGGTAAGTAGGTCAACTTTAAATATTTGGCCTCTTTCCACTAAGCCTGCATCACTAACTAGCTAAACAACACTGGGAAAATTATTTAAATTCCCTGTGCTCTGGTTTCCTTATTGGAAAATATGAGCATCGTAACTATCTCATAGCATTGATGTTGGAATTAAATAGTGTGTGTGTAAATATACATATATATATAAAGCCTGGCACACTGTAAATGCTATATAAGTGCTTGCTGTTATTTCTGGTAAACTCAGAAGTTTTGTCAAGAACAAGCCAAAGTTGAGATGGATAACATCTAAACTTGGGCTAGAGCATCACCTAAATCATGGCATTGAGTCTAGCATGAAGGTTCAGAGCAAGAAAAGCTATAAAGTCAGCTGCTTTGTTTCAAAATTCCTCCTCCACCCCAGTTTACCAACTCTTGGCTTTGGGTTAATATTTCATCCCTTTAAACCTGTTTCCTCCTCTTAAAAATGAGTATTAATAATATCTATCCTGAGAGGGTTGAAGATTAAGTGAGGTCAGCAATGTGGCATACTCAATACAAAATATTCACTCAGTAAAGTATTCACTCAGTAAATGTTCACAAGTATTATACTGTGGGTCTTAAGCAGGGAATAAATGTCTTTAAAAGAGGTGTCTGGTTTACTCAGATCTGCTATGTTTAAAACAAGGACTAATACATCCCTTCCAGAGTGGCCTCATACCAAGATGTCAAAATCACCACACTGACAAGCTTTAGGAAAACACTGGGGCCACATCTCGTCTGCCTTCAGGCTCCTATCAGTGCCAAGTAAGACCTACGTAACTTGTAGGCAGCAAGCAGGGGACATGAATCCCTGAATTCTTAACCTAGCCAACTTTAGACCTAATATATCTCTTTGAGTTATTATTTGGTCTTTTTCTAAATCAATTTCCTCACCTGAAAAACTAACATCAAGAATACTAATTTACCAGAAATAGCATTAAGTTACAGCATTCAAATCATTTATTGTTAGAATATATATGATAAATATAATGGACATTCCATTCAGAATAAAGAATGCTACTGAACATGTACATATTTAGAACAAGTCTATTTACCTAAATTCAAGTACACGAATTTCCTTGTAGCCTGGTAACCCAGTAAATGCATTTTCAACCTGTTAAAAATACAAATAAAAATGATAACTATGTAGAAATATGGAAAAATATATAGAAAATAATGCTTTTAAGACTAGAATAAGAAGTGCACTGTTCACAACTATTAGACACTTATACACTTACCTAGGCATACCCAGGTCAGAAAGTGAAAGAAAAAATTTTACCTAAACACTGCCACATTTTTCTTTTTCATTTTGTCTTTTAAGGTTTTAATGTGCTTTAATATTAATTTTTTCCAAATTATTAAAAAGCATGCTCCTTGTTGGCAAAGCACTGTTTTTCCCTTACGTGAAGAAATGTGAAAAAAAAAAAATTGTTTCAAAAGAAGCTGTAATAGCTTTTTTTTTTTTTTTTTCTCTTGAGATGGAGTTTCACTCTGCTGCCCAGGCTGGAGTGCAGTGGTGCGATCTCAGCTCACTGCAACCTCCACCTCCCAGGTTCAAGCAATTGTCCTGCCTCAGCCTCCTGAACAGCTAAAATTACAGGCGTGCACCTCCATGCCCGGCTAATTTTTGTATTTTTACTAGAGACAGAGTTTCACCATGTTGGCCAGGCTGGTCTCGAATTCCTGACCTCAGGTGATCCACCCGCCTCAGCCTCCCAAAATGCTAGGATTACAGGCCTGTAATAGCATTTTTAAATGTTATTGTTTGGATTTGAAATCTGGCCACAGCACACACACTGACAAACAGTGTTTGTTTTCTATAAGTGTGAATGTGGCTGGTGGCATCTGTTTCCTGCTCCTACAATGAAAGAGAACCACAAACACACTCAACGCTCAGATGAGAGGCTTTGTGGTCAGGTAACTCCGTTGGTCCAAAGACCGATTCATGAGCATCACATCTGCAGGAGCCAGTTTTATTACTGAGTCTTTAAAATCTAGCCATGTAACTCCAAATGAGCTTAGTGACTGGAGGTGGAAAATGGTATGCTAGATTGGACTAAAGACATAAAAATAATCAGGTTGAGGCGGGTGGATCACAAGGTCAGGAGATCGAGACCATCCTGGCTAATACGGTAAAACCCCATCTCTACTAAAAATACAAAAAATTAGCCAGGCATCATGGCGGGCGCCTGTAGTCCCAGCTACTCAGGAGGCTGAGGCAGGAGAATGGTGTGACCCCGAGAGGCAGAGGTTGCAGTGAGCCGAGATCACACCACTGTACTCCAGCCTGGGTGACATATTCTCTCTTAATAATAATAATAATAATAATAATAATAATAAAGTTAGGCATAAATGCATATTTTAACAAAAATAAACATTTAATCTGTAACATTTCAGAAGATGACAACCTCAGCAGATGGGTCACTATGGGGCCAACATCAGAACAAAGGAAATAAATTAATGGACTTTGGCAACATCTCTGGGCATCTGCTTTTAACCAAGTCCTCATATGAGGAGAGTGGGATTTTTTTAAAATCATGATTCACTGAAGATCTTTATGCCGTAAGAATAAAGAATCCAAAGCCAAAGAATGAAACTCTTTGGCCATAGTAATATGCCCTGTTTTACTCTCTGAAAGGAAATAAAAAACTGTTATAATTCTCGTAGGGTGGTGGGGAGGGGTAGAAGACATAGGACTAGAAATCAGAAGGCTGAGGGTTAGTCTCAGCTCTGTTTCTGCTGGCAGAGTGGCCATGCACAGGCCTTCTTTTTTCAGAACTAAGACTTCCCTGCCCACCTACCATATTGATTTTAAGATTAAAAGAAATGTACCTAAAAGCACTCCATTAACTGAAAAATGCTGTACAACTGTATGTTAGCATTACTACTAATCCCATCTTAGCATAGGCTTTGCCAGCTCTGGAGTCTAAACATGTATAGGTATCCAGTTGCAAGAAGTCATTCGACTTCAACATCGATATTAATAGTGAGTAAAATGTATCAAGGACTGCAATATGTCTGGTGCTTTGCTTTACTTCAAATCTCTGCGACGATCCCAAGAGATAATACATTATTCCTGTTTTATGGATGAGAAAATGGAGATTATAAGATATTAACTAACTTGGCCAAGGTCACACATTTGGTGAGTGACTGAATCAGAATGTATTCAATCCCAGATCTCTCTAACACCGAAGCCCATATTTTTCCCATTGCATTACATTGCCCCTTCCTCTTTCCCCTGACTCATGATGAATGTGCTTGAGAATTGGGACCAGGACTGGGAAAACTAAGGTTCACTATAACTTCTCCCTTGAATTAAAAAGAAGGGGACTCTGTAGAAGAAGAAGGAGTACTTTGAAAGGCAGTAGGAGACCTGATTTTCATTTCTGTTCCTAGAGAGACTACATGACAATGAACAAGTTGTTTGGCCTCCTGAGCCTCATCTGTAAAGTGGAGATGCTTGCCTACATGGCTGCTGTGAGCAAACAAATAGAAAATCACCTGTGGAGCACAAGGCACTATGTGAGGATCACACTGACACTGGCACTGCACTCAGGCACCAACACTCCCAGGCCCATCACAGTGACCTTCCCCTCTCTGATGTTGTACTTCGTGTTGTCCCAAACCTATTATGCCCCCACTTCTTATCCTTTACACACAGAGAGAGAGAGAGAGACACACACACACACACACAAAGACTAATAGCTCCTAAACCTCATCCCCTCCAAGCAGGCTTTCTTTCTCCCTGTGTGTCTTCCAGTAATACCCAGAGAAGCTGCAGGAAAAATCTGTGTGATGGTGTCCTAAAGGGAGGGAGCTGGAGGATCCCCTTCAGTTTGAGACATGATCCCCTGCCTCTGCTGTTTCATGCAAAGTGACTGTTGATAGGCATTTCATTCCAGGTAAGGGGACAGGGAGTACAGAGATAGGCCAGAGAAGGAGGTGTTCCATGGAGGTTCAGAACCTTCAGCACCCTCTAATCACCTCAACTCAATAGCTACCTGCCTCATAAAGTCCCTGATGGAGACATTTTTCAGAGTGTTATTGGACTTCTCTAAATCTGCAGTCATTCCATGCAATTGTGTACCCAAACACTAAGCTATATCAAAAGTTCCTTAATCAAAGGACAGAGAAAACCAGACGGCCAGCCCAAGACACTCTTTGATGCCAGGTGGCCACTGGCCTGGCTGACATTTCTTCCACATACCATGCAGCCTTGCAACTTGGCCACACCACTAGGAAAATGAATTGTCTGGCCTCCCCCTCCCACGTCTGATGGCTACAATAATGCTTTGGCTGAGAGATGCACATTTTTATTTCCCATCTGGACATAGTATCTGGGGAAGAAAATTAAGGTAATGGAATTGATAAACTTGGCTAAGGAGAACCCCGTCAAGAAGGAATGGGAAAAAATAAACAGTAAGGAATGATGTGCCCTGTCATCTGACAGACAGGGATAGATGAGCATTTAATGTCTTACTGCACAAAAGCAAAGGCAAACTAGACGGGGACCATGGGTCATTTCTGACGGAAAAAATCTTGAGTTTAAGTCCTATATAGAATTTTTCCAGAAAGTGAAGTTATGGGATGGTCTAATCCACAATTCTTTAAAGAAATCCCTTTTTAAAAATACCTCCAACTAAGGATAGGAGAAATATTTATTTTTCACTGGATGGCCTTTTATGCCTCCAAACTTTGTACCAGGTATGTGTTAACTATTCAAAAATTTTCAACTAAAAAATACTAAAGATGAAATTAAAAGACATTAAATGTAATGTTCCCTTAAGAAAAACAATACAGTATGTGTAATTTCTTAGAGAAGCTTATTTCTCCAAATATTTTCAAGTCAAAACTATGCCACAGGACACATTCTTCCTTGGCTGTGCAGCAAAAGTTGGAAATTGCATTTATTTTTTAGCAGATGGCAAGATTTTTCTTTCTGTGAAAGAATTCATCTGTCCTGTGACTTTTTACAGAGTTTTCTGAAGAAATGGCTGAGTAACCACTCCAGGAACCAAGTAGACAAACAACTTGAAACCTAAACCTATCTTTAAACAGTGTTGTAAATATGGGAAACTAACATAGCAGGCATACTGTCTTGTTTGTTTTTTTTTTAATCACCCACCTCTGAAATAAATTCTTCTTCAAGGTGCTGGTGGTGAAAGCTGGAGGAATCCTGTAGTTCTTCCCTGTACTCCTTCCCCAAAAGGTGGATGCTGAATTCTGCAATCTGTTCAGCTGCTGGTTTTGTGGCTTCTTCTATCACATTCTCAATTTCATTGCTAATCTGGATTTTCAGAGAAAGAACAATAAATGCCAAGGCTTATTCATTCAGTCAAAAAGCATTTATTGATTGTTTCAATGTGTCAGAACTGTGCTAAAGGCAGCCTCTGAAGATAACATTATTATACCGTATTTGACTTTGGAACAAATTGGGTAGACTTTAAGACATAGGCCAATACTGAAATTACTATGCATTTGTTCATTCCTTTGAACGCACATTGCACAGTTCAGGGCAAGGTAGAAAATTTTCCTTGGGAAACCATCAAGGTGAATTTAAAAATAGTTGACTGCTATAATTATCATCTGAAAATAGCCTAGAAGGGTTGTTTCCAAACTTTTTTGTCTTAGAGCCCTTTATACTCTTAATAATCATTGAGGAATCCAATGTATGTGGGTCACACCTATACATATTTACCAAACAAAAGATTAAAAGATAAATTTTAAAAACATTAATTCATTTAAATATAATCATCTCAGTTCATGTAAAAATGAAGAAAATATTCTGCAAAATAAAAAAATAGTGAGAAGAGTCACATTGTTTATATTTTTGCAAATTCTTTAATGTCTAGCTTAATAGAAGACAGCTGGATTCTTCTATCTGCTTCTGTATTCCATTAGTTACAATATGTTGTTTTAGTTGACATACATGAAAAAAATCTGGTCACACAGATATCTATCAGAGAAGGGAGGAATATATTTAGATTTTTCAGATAACTGTGGATATTCTTTTCTGATGCTACACCTCACTCAACAAGCCGTAATTTCTTAAAGGTTAGTTGCTATGTGGAACCTGAACCCATATTCAACAAACTTTTTGTACTCTGTAACATAAAAACCCAGGCCTTCTACTGGCCAAAGCTGAAATAATTTAAGCAACAATAAATAACGGATTATAACCCAAAGAATAAATTAAATATCCATGAGTCTATACTGATATAATAAATAAATGATGAAACAAATAAATGAAAGGGAAGTGACAACAGTTTCTTACAGAATAGTTTCAATAATTAATAAAGGTAGAAAAAAATGATGGAAGTAGAAGATCACTACTAGAGTACCACAGTAATAATTATCACATGCAAAATACACTTAAGTGCATGTAATCCAAGTTTCTCCATTTTGATACATAAGAAAACCAGGGATTGAATAGGATGAATGACTAGCATAAAGAATCACAGCATGTCAATGACAGAGTCAGGAAGAGAATATCAGGGCTTTTTTCACTGTATCGTTTATCATCCCTGACGAATCATACAGTCAGAGACCTTTAAAACTTCAGAATGGGAAAGAACCTCAAAGATTCTACCACTCCTTCTGATGCTTGAATTTTCTTCATAATATCCTTGACAAATGGCTGCTTATCATCAGTTCGAATGGCTCTGATGAGAAAGAAGCATGCCTTTCAAACACAGACTACTACACTTCAAAAATGTTCTCATGGTTGGAAAGTTCTTAATATTAAACCCAAATTTACCTTCCTATAAATTCTACCATTGATCCAAATTCTATAACCTGTGACACATTTAAAACTTAGTTGCACAAAGCCCGTCGAATATGTACAGGCAGCTATCATGTCTTCCCTGACTTTTCACTAGTTCCTTTCCTCCATACATTTCTTAGGCTCTTAATATCTTTCTTAGAGAATGACACTCACAAGTGAAGTCTAGCCAATGAAAATATGCAATATGTTGTTTTAACAGAAATATATGAAAAAATCTAGCCACACATCTCTCTTACAGTAAACTGTATTTCAATTAAAACAATCTAAAATTACACTAGCTTTTGTCTTTTCAGTAACTGCATCATACTACTGATTCACAGTAAGACTAATATCAACAAAAACTCTTAGTCCTATGAAATTTTGCACAAGACTTTGCATTTTTTCCTTATTAAGCTTCATCATCTCACTAAATTTTCAAAGAGACCCGTTTCCAGTTTATTATTTTAAAAAATCTTGAGCAGTATTGCTGCTACGGAATACTGAAAACGCTAAGTAAATATTTTAATGGTTTTAATGCATAGTCTGCAAGAAAGTAAAAAGAAAACAAAACCAAACCAAGGTGTCAAAAAACAGGAATCCAGAGAGTTGAGTCAGTGTCGAAGGTGGCAGCTTCCATGGAGCATCTGCTGATCCTTTGTGACCTAGGCTTTAAGTTTAAATAGCACAAAGGGACAGAATACAAAGTAGAAGGTCTATACATATTGACAAATCAGATCAAAGACTCCCACATAAAGAAAGGATTCTAAAAACTCAATGGACAGTTTGAACAACAGTAGATTAAGTTGAAAGAAGAATTAGTGAAGTGGCAGACATAACTGAAAGCAACACAGAGAGACACAGAAATTAAAGTAATTAAAGTAGTTAAGAGACATGAGAGAGAAAATGAGGAGGTCAGGCATATCTAATCATGAAAGATAACAGCTGAGAATTTCTCCAAATTTATGTTAGACATAAAGTTTCACATTAAGGAAATACAACAAATCCAAACCACAATAAATAAACATAAATACACATCCATACCCACTTTTGTGAAACTGCAGAATCTTAAATACAAAATCGTACACTAAATGTGTATATATATATGCATATACATATATACACAAACATATATACATACGTGTATATGTAGATACATACATATCTTAGAAACAACCAAAGAACACAACCAGATTACAAAGGGAGTGCCAAATGAACTGATAGTTCACTTCTCAGTAGCAACAACAGAAGCAGAAGATTGTAAAATAAAAGCTTGACAAAAAAAACCCTTCAATCCAGAATTGAACATAGATTTAAAACACCTTTCCAGAATTAGAATGAAGAAATTTTCAGATGATCAAAAGCTGAGATCAAAACAGTGAGAGACTTTCATTAAATTAATATCTGAATTATATATTTCAGAAGGAAAATTACCCAGAAGATAGATCTAAAATATTTTTTTAATTAGAAAATAAAATAGTAGGGCCAGGAGCAGTGGCTCGCACCTGTAATCCCAGCACTTTGGGAGGCCGAGGTGGGCAGATCACTTGAGGTCAGGAGTTCAAGACTAGCCTGGCCAACTGAAACCCCATCTCTACTAAAAATACAAAATTAGCTGGGCATGGTAGTATGCTCCTGTAATCCCAGCTACTCAGGAGGCTGAGGCAGGAGAATCACTTGAACCTGGGAGGCGGAGGTTTTAGTAGCAGAGATCCACTGCACTCCAGCCTGGGTGACACAGCAAGACTCCATTTCAAAAAAATAATAAATAAATAAAATAAAATAAACAAAATAGTAAACATCTGGGTAAATCTTAAACAAATTTTAGCTGTATAAGTAGAATATAATACAGTCTAATTAGTAGAATGAAAAAAGAGAAAGAACAAAAATACTGAAAAGTAGCATATAGGTCAGCAAAATGATCATTTGAATTACAATGTTCTAATGTTTCCACATTGCTGAGGATAAGAATAAAGATGTTGAAAAACTTAAAATTTGTTAAGTTAAACACACATTATAATTTATAGGATAACTCCCAACAGAACCAAAATATGGTATATAATTTCTAGAAGAGTAGATGGGAAAATGCATTAGGAAAATAGCTGCACAATAAAACTACCTTGGGCTTCATTTGAACCAGAGCTACAGGCAATCTAATTTTTGTTAGGTATCTCTATATTGTTGTGGTTCTATAAATTGGCTTAAATCCTCTGTTTTGGATATTAATGTTCCAATTGACTGCATACAATTCCTTAATTTCCATTAAAGTGAATTCTATCTATTCTATAAATGTTTTCAGATCTAAATCACAGCTATTCTGCCTCAGGTTCAAAGCTACAGTATCACTTTTTATTCATTCATTCACAAATATTTATCAAATGCCAGTATTTGCTAGCACCATCTACTTGGAACACGGCTATACTTAGCATAAAAGTATTGATTCAGGTATCCACTCAGGGATTACCACCAGACTTGTTCAGTGACAGGGAGGGTGATGAGGCAAAGTGGAGCGACTTAACCTGATTTCATGTAAGTTAAAACGTCCATGTTGGGAAGTGAAGGTGCAAGATAACTAAATTGCATTTTCCTAGTGACTATGTTTTGTCAGAGTTTGCTCTATGTTTAAAAAACAGCATTTGTGAACCCCCTAATTTTTTAAATGCAGTATTTAAATATCTAACAAAATGTTTCTATATTCCTGGGCAATGTGTAATTTTTTTGTTAATCTGTATATATCTTTTGTGAGAGACTCAGCTATAGGATTTAGTGTTGTTCAGTGGACAGGTTTCTATTAATTATGGTATATTCACAATGCACGGTACTTTTTGCCTTTTAAACTACATAAAATGTATAGTTTTTAATGTACTGGTTTTAGAATTCACGTCATTTTTCTAACAGGGTACTACATGAAGTCCTGTGTAGTCCAGCAATGGGAGATAAACTCTCCCTTAATCTCTATGCTCCATGTTAGAAACTAAGTAACAAAACAGAGCATCACTCACACTCTCCTCTGGCCTTTCCAAGCTGCTGTCTGAGGCACCTTCATAGGAGTCCACCCCTGGATGTGGAACACTGAGAGCAGTGTCTAAGAAGAAAAGCAAAAACATATGCATGAATTCAGTCCCTGATTAAGTCAGAATTCCTATCAGGAAATAAGGAACTGACTTCAAAAACCATTCCCATAAATAGTTTGCTTTATTGTCCTGGAAATTCGGTGCTTTCTAACCTCAAGACACATTTGTATGGCGTCTTCTCAGAACAAGAAATAATTGTGGTGCATTCAACAAGCATATATTGAGCACCTACTGTATGCCAGACTCTGCACAAGACACTACGGACACAGAGACAACATTCCTATACTTAAGGAGCTATCTAGCAAAGGGGACATATACTAAAAGAAGTAACTCCTCTACCAGAGAGGGGAAGTGGGTAAAGGTTGGAAATTGGCTGTGAATTGACAAGTGTTAAAACTGGACCTTATCATGTTATTCTATTTTTGTAGATGTTTGAAATTTCTAACACAGAGAAGTTTGTGGGTTTTTTTTTTAAATTAAAAATAAAGAAATGAATTACCAATTTACAAGAAATATACTGGTCAAAGGAACATGTTAAACTATACCACAGAATGCAACAAGAAAATCCTTCCTCTGGAAAACTCTCACAGGACGAATGACAAATGGTGGCATTAGAATGGTTCTACGTTTTGACATTAGTGGTAGCTACAGAGTGTTTGCCTTAAAATAATTCATCAGCTCATACATTTGTTTTCAGTGGTGTTCTGACTTGTATTATATACTTAACGATTAAGGATTTTTAGGTACTGACAACATTATGCCATAAATATTTAAAAATTACTTTTTCTTGAGAATTTTGAACAACATATAAAAAGAGAGAAATCTGATATTTTTAAAACGTTAGCACAAAAAAATGTACTTTTTTGTGAGACTGTCTTAAACCATAAATAATTTAAAAAGAAAAGTGAATAAAGACACAAAAAGCATACCTCCCAATGTTGAAGTATCACCAACAGGAACTGGAGAAGACAGTTCAGGGCTAGAAAAAAAATGTTTGCAGTTAATGAAATGACAGACACATGAGGGTTTATTTTGGGATTTTGGAGTTGTTTTCCAAAAAGAAAAACACTAGATCACCAATTAAGGGCTCCCAAGCAAAAGTACCAAGAAGCAAAGGTTTTAAAATTAAAACTTCATAATTCATTTATTTTACATTTATTGATGCATACTCAACTAGAATCACCATACCTAGAATTCTTCCCTAGTTATCTTTTCATCACCCTGTTTTCTCTCTTCTCAGTTCTTATCACTATGTGAAATTTTATTTATCTTCTTATTTATCTCTGTCTCTAATGCCTTAGTCCTCTAGCACATTATTGCCCAAAAATGGTAGCCACTGGACACGTGTAGCAATTTAAATTAATTAAAATTAAACCAAGTTAAAAACTCAGTTCCTCATTTACACCTGCCACATTTCAGGTGCTTAATAGCTGCGTGTGGTTAATGGCCATCATACTGGACAAGATGGTAAAGAACATTTCCATCACCACAGATGTTCTGTTGAACAGGAATGCATTAAGAATCTAAACTGCATGAGATTGGAGACCTTGACTAATATATTCCTGCTGTATTTTCCAGTGCCTAAAACAGTACCTGCCATTTAGTAGGCATTAAAAATATATTTTGGGGTAAATGAATACTATGTGCCAGGCAATGTAGAAGGTACTTGGCATGTAATTGTGAGCAAAACACCCATGGTATATGAAGGTTACAGTCTTACAGAAATTATACACACTAAGTCAATAATTACAGATGAGACAAGTAGCATAGACAAGAAAGTAGTGGCTGCTAGAAGGAACATAAAGCCACACACCTGATCTCATTGCAGAGATCACTGAAATCATAAAACCTATTTATGTAAAGAAAGTCAAGCTTAGAGGAAGTATTTGCTGTAGGCCACATTGCTAACAGGTATCAGGTATCCTAGCTGTCGTGTTACCATGCCACTCTGCAACTGCAAGCAAAGATAAGAAGAGATCAGAAGATAATTTGAGAAAGCCCCTCCTCCTAAAGGAAAGAAAATAGGTTTCCACAAGTCCATATTTTCACATATCCCAAAGGTATAAAAGTTAGATTTGCAGTAATTTGGGAACATTTTAGAATTTTCAAGTTTGTACACATGTCCTAAGAGGAAAAGGGCTATTCCCTTAACTTTTTCCAAAGATATTGGATCAGTGATGATTGTCTGTTTTCAACTCATAGCAATTAAAAACGCTCTTCAGGTCGGGCATGGTGGCTTATGCCTGCAATCCCAGCATTTTGGGAGGTCCAGGTGGGTCAATCACCTGAGGCCAGCAGTTCGAGACCAGCCTGGCCAACATGGTGAAACCCTGTTTCTACTAAAAATACAAAAATTAGCTGGGCGTGGTGGCACATGCCTGTAATCCCAGCTACAGGAGCCCGAGGTATGAGAATCACTTGAACTCAGGAGGCAGAGGTTGCAGTGAGCCAAGATTGTACCGCTGTACTCCAGCCTGGGTGACAGAGGGAGACTCTGCCTCTACATAAATAAATAAATAAAAACTCTCTTCAATGCTACCAAGTCAACTTCCTAAAGTAATTTGATCAACAGTAAAAAATATCTCCTTCATAGATGTGTCCAGGTCTGTGACGTGTCCAGTAAGTCACATCTTCAGAGCCACACCTTTAGATCACCCTACTGCTCTCAATTAGATTACAGAGGTACTCAAAGCCTCGAGATAAACACGGCACACATTTGGAGGCATCAGTCTTACTAGAAGCTTAAACAGGTGAGGAGTTAAATAAGAACTGATGTATAATTTAAAACATTTTAAAATTATAACAAACATGGCTATATTATGGAATAGAATATAAGTTTAAATGAGTATGAAAATCAAATATGATAATTCAAAGACATTTGATGATTGGAGCTGGTAGGGGAGGGTCAGCTAGGGGCATGTTTTCTAAATGCCCAGGCTTTGGTAGAAAATTTGAGAAACATTAAGTTAAAAAAAAAAAAAAAAACTTCATCATAAACATCCTTCTGGTTTTAAAAATTCTATCTAAAAAAGTAAGATGTTAAACTATTACACAAAACTCATCAGTATTGTTTATTTAGAGTACTTTTGCATAAAATTGCTTACTAAGTTTCATCTAGAAGAACCTAAAGGGTATGACATCTGGACAAGTTATTTTGATGAGCAGAGGACAGCATGAGGGATGAGGAAGCATCAGGAGGCTTCCTGGGTTACAGAAGATGGAGCTGAAAAAATGGGAATCGGATGCATTCGGAAGAAACATTAACATAATCAGGCCTGAATAGGGTCTATCAATTGTCCACATGGCAGTACTCCTTCTCAGTACCTTCATTTCATAGATGAAAGAAATAAGGTCCAAACAGGTAAAGCAACTTTACCAGGCTCACACAAAACTTCCTAACTGTATCCAGTTCTCTTTCAATGATAACAGCAAGAATAATTACAACTAAATTTACTGAACCCTCATCATGTGTCATACACTGCTAAGTGCTTTATTTAGGTTAACTAACTTAATTCTGGCAACCACCCTAAGAACGAGATCCTATGATCCCATTTAGACTGATGAGGAAACTAATGCTAGAAGAGGTTAACATTTGCTCAGGGTCACACAGCTAAGCCAATGGAGGAGCTGTGATGTAAAATAGGCCCACTGGATGCCAGAAACCTCACTCTTACTCACCTCAAGTCACTTCTTCACAACATGGCCCTGACATGATCCCTACTCTTTAGAAGGGTTTCACTTGGCCTTCATGATACTGGCCTATAAAAACCAAATGACCTAAAAGTCAATGTGTAAGGTCCCAGAAAGAGGAAGGGGAACCTGGTTACAGTTGGAGGCCTATGGAGAGAAACCAGATATAAGGATCACAGTAAGGCAAAGGTAGGAAAGCACAGCACAGCAACTAGAATAGGATGTTGGGATGAGGTAGCAGAGAAACCGGACTTCACCTGGGGTGAGTTAAACTGTCCCCGACATCAAATCAAATTTAAGCTAATTCTCTAACTAAGCAAGAATTCAGAATGGAGAAGTTTGATTACTTCAGTTGAACTAGATTTCACCTTGCTAAATTCAAAATAACATTATTTTAACAGTGGTAAGTAGGAAACTCTCAGTAATTTAAATCACTTGCCTACACTCCAACTCTTAATCCCTCACCCACCCACTCTCCTTTCAAGAGACAGTAAAGAACACTTAACAACAAGAATCCTTTTACATGTTTTCATTAAGTATTCCTCCTGCAGAGACCCTTTAAAATGTCACTCACAACAGCACTGGAACACGGAGGTGTCTTGAGTTTGGGAAGAGAAATACTACTTCATTTCTAAGTCAAACCACAAAGCCGAAGCTGTTCAGCTAAGATCTTCAGCTTAATACTAACAACATGCAACCCCTTACTATCTCCTTTCCTCAGCTCATCCAGCACGTTATTCATTCTTCACCACTATTACCTAATCATGTCAATGGAATTCAGGTGGGATTGTGTCAAAAGTTGCTCACAGCCACGCAGAACATACACTTAAAGACAGTGTAAAACAAGCCAAGCACAGGTTCGTATGCAGATTCCTACTCCCCTTGATGACCTTCTATACTTTGCTTTGCTCTTGAATATGTTACTATAATCACATGTGACAGCAAAAGAATTCAAAGAAAGGAGTTAAGAAACCTGAGTGCTAGTCCTAGAGGTATCACTAACTTGGTGTATGATTTAGGGAAATACCTTAGTTGCTCTGGGCCTCAAGAACTTAACCTTTAAAACAAGAACACCTCCATGTCTTCCTATTTCATGAAGGTGTTGACAAAAACCAAATAAAATATTATATGCAGAAGCATCATAAAAAGTATGAAATGCTAAACAAATATAAAACAGGGGTTAATGGGATAGTGACATATGTCATCCCAAACAGAATAAAACATTTGCTGAAAAAATATATATATAGGCCGGGCGCAGTGGTTCACACCTGTAATCTCAGCACTTTGGGAGGCCAAGGTGGGCGGATCACCTGAAGTCAGGAGTTCAAGACCAGACTGGCCAACATGGCGAAACCCCATCTCTACTAAAAAACATACAAAAATTAGCCAGGCATGGTGGTACATGCCTGTAATCCCACCTACTCAGGAGGCTGAGGCAAGAGAATCACTTGAACCTGGGAGGTGGAGGTTGCAGTGGGCCGAGATCAGACCACTGCACTCCAGCCTGGGTGACAGAGCAAGACTCTGTTGCAAAAAAAAAAAAAAAAAAATATATATATATATATACACACACACACACACACATATTCGGCTTTGTGATTCATTCTCAACTACAAATGTAAATTAATTGAGACACACACACAATCCCAAAGAGCAGTCATTATGCTGAGAATATCACCAGAGACCTGATAATAGACTTGGGTGATTAGGCAGAAATTCTGTTATTAATTTAACAAATATTTAGTAAGCACATATCCTAGGCTGAGCCTTGCACTGGTTATTGGGGATGTAACCATAAAACCAGATGGCAGGAGTTTAAGCAGTGACTGGAGCTAAGTGGATATTCTTTCAAGATGTCTGGCTATAATGGAGATAAATGCAGGCTTTTTAAAAAATATGTAACATGAGAGGGACTTGTGCATGTTTAAATACTAATGGGAAAGAGTCAGTAAAGAAGGAAGTTGGAGACTCAGGAGAAAGAGAGAAACAATGACAGGCAGAGGTTTCTAAGAGGAAAGACAGAATGTAAGGTCCTGAATACAGGCAGAAAATGTTCTTTTTAAGAGTTGGCAACTGATGGCAGAGACATTTAAAATAGGATATAGCAGAGTATATGGTGCAAGACACACATCAGCAGATGTATTAGAGTTTGCATAGAGGTCTGCAATTTAAATTACAGAGAATTGTGATTGGCAGAATACTAACCTCCCAAAGAGGTCCATATCTTAATCCCCAGAGAGGGGAATTAAGGTTGCAAGTAGAATTAAGCTTGCTAATCGGCAGATCTTA